AGCTCCTTGGGCATTGCCCAGTGGAATTCTCTAGGCGCTTGACCAGGGGAGATGGCTGCTGCAGGAGCTGTCCACTGGGCTGGAGACAGTGTTGACTTTGCTGCTCCAATGAAGCTGGTCTAAGGAACAGGGTGTTGGTGACTTGAGGGGGGCTGGGAGCAGCTCTCCTCTAGAGGGCCAGATTGTGGGGACTGCAAAGAGAAAGGCAAGGAGCTTTGCCTTGCTCTTTGGAGCTGTCCCCACAACCTGGAGTATGGAGAAGTGTGGGTCCTGGATGCCCAAAGACGTCAGCCCTGGGGAGAGAGAAATGGCCCTGTCTGGAGTGAACCCTAAGACCTCAAAGGGCTTCTAGATCAAGGTCCTGCCCCTTCCTTTGACCGTTAAGCAAACAGACGCATGAAGAGGGCAAGAGACTTGCTCAAGGTCACCCAGCCAATGGGTGGCAAAGCTGATCACAGCCTCACTAGGACTTGTGGGGTTCCAGGGTCCTGGACACTACTTCCAGTCCTCCCGTTTACACCCCAGACCGCTGGGCACTGCTGTCCCCACTTGTCAGAGGAGGTGCTGAGGCTCTGCCAATGTCACGCAGCTAGGAATGGGCAGAGCTGGAACTCGGTGACTCCCCCCAACAGGCCACCTTGTTTGTAGAATCCATTCCTGGGAGTTTTCGCTTCACCACTCACCCTGTGTGATATTTCTATTGAGCCCACTGCCAAATTTAGGCTTGCCAAAATCCAGATTGACCCAGGAGAGCAAATAAGGTTGGTTGCAATACGCTGGAGTCCAGACTGCTGCAGGACCCTCAGCTGCATAGCTAGGTTTGCTCCAGGAACTCTAGACAGGGTCCGAGGAAAGCACGTCCCCTTCCTCAGGGCTTCTTCCCTCTCAGTCCCTGGACATCCCTTCAGGCCCGAGTCCCCTGCAGCAATCTCCTATCCCTGTTCAATTTCCTGAGGCACTGAGTGGGACATGAGCTGGAACTCTGGCCTGTCATACTCCAGTTTAGAACAGGAGCCAAATTCAAGTGCCAAGATGAAGGTTTAGAGCATGAGGGGAACCACAGTGCATATGGGTTGAGAGATTGGTCTCTGACCCCTCTTATCTGGGTCCAGGGCCCAAACCTGCTACTTACTATGTAGGTTTGGGGAAATTATTAACCTCTCTGTGACCCGATTCCCTCAGTGTCCTTATCAGAGTAAAATGAGTTACTCTTCGAAAAGTGTGTAGCACACAGTAAATGGAAACAATGATTATGACTACTAGCCCGAAGTCATAAAGCCTCTGAAACAGTAGGGAGGTTGTGCTTTTAGGTGAAACTTATAACCTGCCCTGTAGATAACCTGCCAGGGGCCAAGGCAGTCAAAGTCGGCTGGCACTTGGAGACGAGTGACATCTGCCCGGAGAGAGTGCAGTATATGGAATGGACCGGAGGCGCAAAAGTTGGATGGGTTCAAAGGTCAACTCCTGACCACTGCTGGCTGGGGGACCTTGGGCAAATCATTCACCTCTCAGCCTTAGTGCACTCCTCTTCCAATTGAGTTTGTTGTAAGGTAGGCAGCAGATGAGAGACAGGGCTAGAGCAGGGTTTCTCACCTTCAGCACTGTAGACATTTGGGACTGGATGGTCCTGTGTGTGGAGCCGTCCTGTGCATGTAGGATGCTCAGCATCATTCCTACCCTTTACCTTTTTGATGCCAGTTGCAACCCCCCTCTGGTTATGACAACTAAAACTGTCTCTAAGCATTGGCAGATGTCCCCTGGTGGATGAAGTCACCTCCCCCACACCCATTGAAAACCACTGGTCTAATAGGTGCTTTGCACAGTTGATGCTTGATACAAGACAGCGTCCTCCTTGCTCAGGCTCCTCCGTTCTGCTGTCTGCGTGATGGAGGGGGTGGTGTTCAGCCCCTGAGTCTCCCAAGGCTAATGACAGCCTTAATCCCTCACATTTTAATCAAGACTTTGCCATCTCCAAATTATCTTCAGGTGTATTACTCTAGGTTTCCCATTTCACAGATGAGCAAACTAAGGCTCACAGAGGTTAAGTGACTTTCTAAGGCTGTTACCTCCTATCCTGCTAGAGGTCAAAGGAACAGTCATGCCAGTTTTAAAACAGTTTTAGAAGTAACCTAGTTGTGGAGGCTTCTTCAGAAGACCATTAGGCAGTCTCTTTCAAAATATAAACGCCATGCCCATTGACCCGGCCCTCTCACTTCTAGGAATCTCCTGTAGAAATGCTCACACGTGCACACAGAGAGACGAACACAGGACCGCAGGGCTTTTCTATACCAGCATAGGGAGGGGTTACACTGGTGCAATCACACCGGAAAATGAGTGTATTTTAGAAGAAGAGGTAGATCTGCATTCCTGACCTGGAAAGATCTCCAAAACTTATTTCATGAAAATGGTAAAGTCACAGGATCAATATATACAGTCTAATCCCATTTTGGGGGGGAAAGTAATATATGTAAATCCATATAAAAATGGGTAGTTAAGGAAGTGAGGAGCATGGAAAGGACATACACACACACACACACATATATGAAAATATTCATAGAGGGTGAAGAAGAAAAGGCATACTCTAGCCAGCTTCCCATGCATTAAAAATGAGCAACGCAGAGCCCAGAGGTTGAGAGACTTGCTCAGGGTCCCTCAGCCAGGCAGTACGGCAGTGGGACTCCACCCCGAGATTTGAACCCCGTGTAGGGGCTTTCAGCTGCCCAGCTCCCGGTGTCTGCGTGA